TTTATCTCTGCTGGTGATGCCCTTTTTGATGTAACCCAGCATCCTGATGGCATTCTTGGCCGCAGCAGCACACTGTTCACTCATGTTGAGCTTCCTGTCCACCAGGACCCCCAGGTCCCTTTCCATGGAGCTGCTCTCTAGCCAGGTGGATCTCAGTCTGAGCTGCACTCTTGGATTATGTTTTCCCAGGTGCAAGACCTTACACTTGTCTTTGTTAAAAAGATTGAGGTTATTGTCCCTTTTTTTGGTTCTGCTACTGTTTCTTGATACAGTAGTACCATTTTCATGGCTCATAGCTTTCTCCACATAGTCACTTTTGGGGATAAAAAGAAGAAATCTCTCACACAGGTTTATGACTGTATTTTTAGTGAGTCCCTCAAGTCCAATTTTAATTAGGAGTGAATAAGAAGAAATATTCTGTCATCTGAAAAATACTTAATTTGCTCTTTCATAGAAAAATAAACAGCTGAATAAAAAGCTTTAAACTTCACAGAAAAATCAGACACGTATGTACAACACATTTTTCTAAAAATCTCTAACTTTCTGATAACAGAACTGTTAGTTTCTGAGCAAGCAAGGGCACGTGACTTCTTTTACAGACTGTTTGGCTTAAGAGACTTCGGGACCTTATCAGAGGAATTTGGATTTAAATGCAGCCCCTAGTGGAAACACAAGTGTGGTCTGTTGGTGGAGTGCCATGTTACCATCCAGTTAGAAGCGCTCAGGCAAAGATAAGTTTCCTGAGGAATATAAAACCTCTGATGATTTTTGAGTGCAGTGGCTGGACCAAGTTCTCTGTTGATGTAACTCCTTTGGCTTTAGTATCAGTAGGAATTTGGCTCAGAGCTTTTCTGGGCCAGAATTCAAAAGAGGCTCAATCTATCCCCTCTTAGCTTATTTACATCTTTTTGTGTGTTGGTTTTATGGTGTTTTTGTGGTAGTTCCCAAAAGACTCAAACACTGAAGACCTTCAAGTTTAGTGTTTTAGTATATTTTGCAAAGCTTTAGACCAAAGGCTTGGTTCATTCTGCTGTGCAAACCTAGACTATGAGCTCTTGGTGTCAAGAATTATAGCCTTAGATGGAAATGTAAAGACAGAAGAGCTTATAGCGATGCTTATATTGGGGATCTGAATGCATGTTTTAATGTCTCGGGTTTCTTTTCATCATTACTGTCAGATGCATGATCAGCTTTGAAGGATTAGATAGCACTGCTTTGAAATTGCAGCTTTCTGTATCTCTTAATCACAGTTACAATGCTTTTGTTCATTCACTGGTTTTGTTAAGTGTCTTGGTGGAGTGGGGAGGGCTTCACCTACCTGCAGTGTAAGGTGCAGTCCACAGCTGTGCTAACCATCATTTATGGTTAATGCACTTGAAAGGCCATGTCATTTATCTTAACCTGAAATAGGCATCTAAATGAACTCAGGGGAAGCCTGACTCTAGTGAGTTTGTGTGAGGGTACATGGTGTGGTTTATAGTGACAGCTATTATAGTGTGCAGCTAGTAAGTAGACTTAGACAGCACCTCATTGTGTTGCCACCACATTCATTTATATGATAATTCACAAACATATGTGCAACAAACTACAAGCTAGGAATAAAAAAAATGAAATTAGCCCGTACAATAAAAGTGCCAGAGTAGTGACCTCTACATTCTAAAATAAACATACATTTGTATAATCATAATCAGATTGGTTATCCTGTCAGTCTATTTTGAAAACATAATAGTATAGTACTTAGATAATAATTCATTGCTAGCTAAATTAATGCATGGTATCATGTCATTAGATTACGTAACACTGACATTCAAGGACTATCATGCTTTTATAAAACTCTCTTTTACTACAGGCCAGTGCTAGGCCTGTTTTTGAAAAATGTACAAAGTCCTTACTCGTACAAATAGTCCCGTTGGCTACAGTGAGATTATTCCTACGAAAAAGAACTGCAAGATATAGCACTTAGGCAAGTCATTAATTTTATTTTTGCAGGTTTTTTTTTTCAACTTGATTTGGAAATAAACAATGGTTCCTTAACTGTTGTAAATTGCCCCAGCGCCTTCTGAAGCTGAATTGGAAGGTATTTAGTGGGGCTGTGCTGGCACATTAGTTTAATACTCTGATTTGTAGTTGGTAGTACTTTTTTTTCTGACCATTAGTATCTTATTTTGTCCAGTACTGGGCACATTGCCAGCAATTGAAGTAGTGCCTAATATAATGTAGAATACGGAATGTTTATAGGACTGAAGCGAAATTCTCGTTCAGCAACTATTACATCTAAAATGGTGTGACCGAATTTATTGGCAGGTTTGTTACTAAGTTTCAACTTAAAGTAATTAACCTAAATAATCTAGAAAATATCAGCAATGAAATCTGAAAACAAAAATTCTACAGTGAAATGTTAGCAGTAGCCTATTTCGAGGGCAAAAAAATGCTATTATGTAATGCAGTCACATAATTGCCCATGAGAGATTGTAATACAGTACATTTACTAAGGGAGAACTCCCCAGCCACCAAGGAGTGATAAAGCAAGGAGTATTTAAAAAAGCAATGTATTCGTACTTTGAATATTGTATTTGTTTTACTGTTAAGGTTATTGAAAAAAAAGGTTATTACTACTAAGGGATAGTAAAGGGTACTGAGTGAAACTGAGAAAAGTTTTGCAAGGTTTATTGTGTTGCCAGGTGTGTCTCCTGTGCTGCTGATGAGATGTGTGATCTCAGTTACAGCTGTTTATCTGCAGAGAAGATATTCCTGATTTAGAGCAGTTCAGGCACTTCACCTTTCATTGTATTTTATATTCTGGGTGGCAGTTTGATGCCTATTGTCAAAAGCATTTTGATATCTCCTACATTAAATAGAGAGGTAAAAAAGACATATTCTAAAATACAATTCACAGTGAAATCACAGGAAAGGTTCACTTTAGGATGTGAGTCTGTGGGTGAAAATTCAAGGCAACTTTTCCAAGTCATTTTTACCTATCCTTAGTAATGTTTATGCAGCACTGTACTCACACATGCTTCAAGAAGTTTTTCAGCTTTGTAGTGCTTAATAATTCGTGTTTGATATTAATTCAATATTAAGTGGCTGGGTTTTTTTTTGATAGGCCATAGAAAACGTATGGGCTGGTGGCTGAGATTTTACAACACTTGAAGTCAGCAAGAGCAATAAAATATGTGGTATGGTTTCATGAGGTTGGTGTTAACATCTCTGGTTGTCAATGGGTGTCGCATTGTGTCATTAGCTAACCTGTTCTTGAATAACCCATTGCAGAGCGTCTGAGGTGTGCACGGCTACTACACAACAGGCGTGCATTGCAGATGACACAGCTCTGTAACTTTTTCAGATATGTTATTGCTTCTCTTTCATATCATGCACCAGTAACATCTTAAAATATGAATCTGTGGCTTCAGTTTATAATCAATGCTGGGATCTACTGTACTAGAAAAGGGGGCTTTTGATAATTTTCAGCCATTTCTCCAAAAGTCAATCCCTTTCTCAAACCAGATACTTCTTCCCATTTTCAGATGACACAGAAGTCTCCAGAGGAATCTAAATTAGGATCCTTAGGGAGAAGAGCAAGTAGCAATGGAAAATTACAAGACATGCAATTTTGGAGGAATATACTGCAGCTATAATGTTCCCGTAGTATACAGGCTGAACGGTGCAGCACTCAAAGACAAGAATACCGTGTGTACTCTTGTTTTCCTCTAAGTCCTATTTTATTTTTAGGCCTGCCTGTCACTGACAAGCCAAATGTTGTACCCCAACGAAGGGGCAGCTTACCAAGACAAGTTACAGAACCTTCTGTTTAGCACTCTTGCAACACAGAGCAATGGTATCTAAGATTAACACTGTAGATAGATAGGTTTACCTCAGACTCTGCGGTAGTGCTTGTACTTTATTTCTTCTACTGCAGGAAATACTTGGAATAATGCGTGTACTTGAGGTAGCTAACTCAAACATATCTCTGAAGTACCTTGCAGAGGCAAGGGTACTCCTTGTCATGTGGACCAGAACATGGGCTATCTTATGAACTGCCTCAGTGAGATTTGGAATGGTGCAAATTTCTCTTAACACCTTGTATAGGTACGCTGAACCATTATTTCTTGAAACAGGCTGCTTGGATCACAGTGTCATCCCTTTTCGTGGGATATAAAGAAGCATAATTCAAAGCAGCATCTTCTGTTGTATTTTATCTGTCGTGGTTCACCTCAATCTCAAAGGAGCAAAGTCTTTGACTTGAAGAGTAAATTCATTCTTAGGTGGTTTTAATTTCAGCCAGCTCTTTTGTGTTCATCTGTAGATGCCAGCTCAGCTAAATGACAGCAGTAGGGCTGCATTGTAATTTTGAATGATTAGCCCTGCAGGAACTGATCTTGCCCATCTAGAAGACAGGAAATGTAGTCTGAGCAAAAATGGTCTGAGTATGAAATAAGTGAAGTCTTCTTTGCAGAACATTGGTTGTTTTTTAATTCCCTTACTAAAGAAAAGGTCTTAATACTCTTAGGGTGTTTCCTGAGACCTGTGCCACAAATGACCATAATGACTTATTGTCTTGCAGATTAGAGGGGGTAGTCTTTCACTTTGAAAAGTTGCTGATTTGCAAACATTGCAGACTTTTTACCTGTCAACTCTACTCTATTTTCTAATTGACATTTAATGACAGAGTTAGCTGGCTAAACAAGTATTAGGATCATCAGAATTTATCCTAGATTCTCTAGAGTAAATAATTATTTCTAGAGAAATAGAATGGAAGCTTATTTCAGATGAAGCTAGGTCAAATCAGTGTTTCACGCATAATGCATAAAATAGTTATGCTGTTGGAGCAGAGAAACAGCTTTTCTCTTGTATAGTTACAGAGAAGTTTAAACGAATTTTCATCAGTTACATTTGTACTCCTTTTGTGTTCAGTTTCCAGGAATAGGTGAACAAATCAAGCTTTTCTGGTAAAATTTCGCTAAAAGCAGACTTCAAAGCTTCCTGTATGAGGAGTAGATAATGAAACTGTATACTAATTTTGTAATGCTGGAGAAGCTTGTGTCCTCATCCATTCAGAAAATAGAAACACTGCTGTGTGACTTAGGTGACCAACCATAATGATACCAAGGAAAGCTTTTTCAAGGTCCATTTTGGCCAATGTGTCCTATTATGTAGCATGACTTTGAAATACCTTGGGCCATCCATGTAAAAGAGTTGGGTGGTTATAGACTGATTTAGCGGTATTAGGTTTTAAATGAGGAAGTAATGTCCCATGGACTTGGGGACTGCAATGAAGCTTAGCAAAGTAGCCCCATGAGTAAAATAATATGAAATTGCTTCAGAGACCCAAGACTGAAGGACTTGAGAGATTTACCTTTTCAGGTCTCCATTCACTGCCCATTTGCATTTAGTGAATCGTTTAACTATGTGTTTAACTTTAAACAGGTGCCTAAATCCCGTAAGAGGTAGAGTACTTAAAGCAGAACACACACTTAACTGCTTTGCTGAACCACAGCCTTATTTCTTACCTACTGTTTCCATGTTTTTTTGCTTATGTGGCAAGAAGACTTGTATTGGATATGAACCAAAACACAATTTTAACCCTTCTGCCAGCTACTTTCAGAAACATTCATCCTTCCTATGCCCAAGTCTGCTGATCAGTGAGGCAGAAAATTATGTCTCTGAATGTTTGCCTGGATTAAAAAGGATGTTATTTAAAAAGTGTGGCTAATGTGATGTGGTGAACGTGATCTAGCTAATACATTTACGAGGCTTACAGAAGCAAGATGGTGTATACTTTAACATGAGTTAAGCTGGTCAAGTTAAAAACTACAGATTTTTGGAACACATTAGTGGGAAGCACAAGCTGATAATGTCTAGTGCACCATCAGATTTCAGATGAGAGCAAACCCAAATTATTCCAGAATAGCTGGCTCTAACAAGCTGTATGAATTTGAAACTTTCAGGATATGAACCAGTATAATAGTTGCTTGGTTGTGTTTTGCCATAACAGTAAGTAGGTGCTGTCAAATGATAAGTGGCAGTTTCTTTTGTGACTCACTTTTCCTGACTTGCCAGCTGGCTTATATGCTTTCCCTCAGTTGGGTGGAAATGTTTTTCACTGACTGAATTGTCAGTGCTTCAAGATTTTCAGATCTGACGATGGAGATCTTTGCAACTCATAATTTTACTAATGGGTTGTGTTAATGTACCAATTTTTAAATTCATGGGAGAAATTTATGTCACTCTTGTAACATTTGTAAAATGATGACTTTGTTAAATGGATGTGCAATTAACCAGCTAAAAAATAATTGTTAGAAAGACTCTTTTGGCCAGAGTATGTCACAAAACTCTCGGCTCATTTATCACCAGCTGCATCCATTAATTCCACACTGCTTGGCACTGTCTAACAGAGACTTCTGAAACATAACATTTTAAATTTAATAAAACACAAAGAGCTTTAGAGCAGGAATAGGCTGGTTTAAAATACTTAACTGTTTTTTAGAAACCCAGGTTACTTTTTTTTTAGTTTCTCTCCCCTCCTGCTTTACATTTCCTTCTGTTGAATATGACTATATGTAAGGAGAATTATCCAGTTGTAAATTGTAGAGAACTGACAGATTGCTATTGGTTATATGGTCTGAGCACTAAGAATGCCAAGATGTTCCAGCTCTCTGCTTCTCCCAGACAATTTTGGTAAAACAATTGTATCCTGTCAGTCCAATCATTTATCCCAAAGAATCATTGCTACAGCTTTGGTGTACTATTTTCTAAAGAGCATAAATTTGGTCAAGTTGCTGTCTTACAAGTCACTGCTAAATATTATGGAGATGGATTTCATTCACGGGAACTTACAACTGATTTTCCATGATCATCAGATAAGGACTGGCATTCAAACCTGATTTGGTCCACATGATATATAACGTATATGCACAATAGAACGAATGTTTCATTTATTAATAAGGCAAGTGAAAAGAGAAGGGGAAAAGAAAGATCTTTATTAGACAAATATGTCACTTGTTTAAGTTCTAAAAAGTGTTGTATTCTTTTTTTCCTTCTTCCCTTTCTCCAGTTTATCGAGGTTTCTGGACAGTTCTTATGCTCCTGGGAGTGCTCACTATTGTGATGGCTAGTTTCTTCATCATCTGTGCAGCTCCTTTTGCCAGCCACATTCTGTACAAGGCAGGAGGAGGCTTTTTCATCATTGCTGGTGGGTATACTGTTTGCTCAGTCAATTAAAGAAGAGAAAGGATGAGGTATTTCTTCCATTTTCCTTGACCAGAAATTATATTAATCATGGTTAAAAGAAAGAACAAGCATATGCTTCTGTCCTTTTGCTTGTGGAGTGCCTGCCTTGGAGACAATTCTTTCCACAGTTATTTAGTCATGAAGCTATTCTATAAGCTACTTTTAGATTAAGACAAAAAAATACAGGGCAAATCATGGAATTACACTGCAATTTCAATCTATTTTTTTAGCAAGAAAAAGAATGGGTATTTAGGGATGCTGCCTTATAGGATTCTCAAGGGCTTTAGCTAAGGAGAGGGTTTTTTTAATTAGTGATACAAAAGATGATTATGCTGGGCTCTAAAGAAGTTGGAAGACACAGCACATTCACATGACCAATATAGGAGAAATGTTTTGGATGTGATTGGATTACACAAAATAGTTGTCACATATGAGTAAGTGGGAGCTCTAAACCTCTGTGCATGAAAGAATAACAATTTCCTCCTTCCTCATTACCCACACATACTATGGAGGATGCACCCGCCCAGAATTCAGCTGATACGGGCAGCTCTCTGGGATGCTCTTCTGTTAACCTTGTAAAGTCTGGGAAGATGCCACACTGGTGTGTGACATACGGTTGTGTAGCATGTAAATGATAGTATGTGCTCAATCACTGGTCTTTTTTGTATAAAGCCTGGTGAGAGGCAGTCCTGTGAGAGCAGGATTGTGTTATGGGGCAGAGCCACTCGTGTCAGGACCAAAAGGCCTGGGCTCTCTTTCTGCTTCTGTTACTGACCTGCTGACCTTGCTTCCCCACTTCACCTCGCAGCTCTGCATACGCAGCTAGTGATCTTTATTCCCTTTTAAAGGACCCTCAGTGAAGTGTGGGAAGTATTTTGTAATATTTTTGCTGAAAAATCTCCTGCATACTTGGATTTGATCCCTTGAGAATTACTCCTTCACTCTTTTAAAAGACATACAAAAAATATTCATAGTCTGAAGGAAATCCTAAGATACTTCAATGTGTTTTGCCACTGGTTTGCAGGGTAAGAGCCCATGTGAGTCCTGCTTTTTTCCTGCATTTGTAATCTGTAAAAAACCTCAGTTGTCACTAGAAAGTAGCAGAGGCTGTTGGAGAGGAAACAGGCACTTGGAAGGCACCAGGAACTGACGGGCAGAGGCCCAAAACAGCGTGTGTGTTCCCCACTCTGGGCCAGTTCATCTGCCCTCATTCAGGCAGGGGAAAGTTAGATCCCCAAGTCTGTGCTAGTCTCCCTTGGCTTCCCTAGGAGGCCTGCAGGAGGCAATAACATTCATTGGCAGTCAAAACAGTAGGTGTGTAAGAAGTTCCCTCAGCTGGGGTTTCATTTCTTCCTGAAAGTGGGGTCTAATATGGGTCGGATGAATGTGTTATAGAGGAACCCTAAACCTCTCTTTCCTTTACTGAGGAAATCTAGAGAGACTATGTTGCTCTTTCCCCACCTTGTCTGATGGATCTCGTCTCTCCCCAGCAATCCTTGTATCTCAAAGAGGGTTCCATGGTCACAGAAGCCAAAGCCCTGTTTGCGACGCTAGCTACAAAGCTAGGAGCTGATGCACAGTGTATGCCAACTTTTTTACAGTTTTCATCCCTTGGGCAGCAGGTTTGAGACCATCATCACCTGGGTGCCCATGCCCTTACCTCTCACCCTCAGACCCCTGTAATTACCCACTCAAGGACTCAAGGTCTCTCTGCCAGCATCATTGCTGCCCATGTAGATGAACTGCAAAGGGTCTCCAAGGGCCAAAGGAGCCTCAGAAGCCTCTTCACAGTGTCACATATCTGGGGCCCAGAATAGCAGCAAACATACCCGCAGAGCAATTCTAACGTCTGATCTGTGGCAGAGTCACACACCTGCCTTTTCTTCACCCTGATCTTTAAGGAAGGTTGCCCACTTCTCTTATTGAGTGGTGCAGCTGAACTACCACAAATGGAGAGGCTCACACAATTATTAGTATTTGAGGCAGCTTATTGACTAGCAGCTTTCCCTATTAAACTTTGTAACCACATTAACTACCTGAGGCTGCAGGTGAAGCTACAGATGCTACACCTGTGGGGAAAAAGTGCATATCAATTCAACGATACCACAGTCAGTGACTCAAACGCTGTCTTTGCAGCCTCACCTTCAAGTCTACAGTATCAGAGGATGGACCAAGAGCAGCTACAGTAGTGCAAACTGTGGGAAGCCTTATAGTTGCTTCAAAGGTCATAGGAAAAGAAGGGAAAGCTGCCATAAAATAATCACTTAGAGCAGCCTTCAGTGAAGTCTGTAATTACCCTGGGCCTGTTCCTGCCTGAGTGGTGGTGAAAACTGTCCTCTTGTACTGGTGTCAAACAAGCAAGCCCCCAGGATGTGCACAGAGCATTACAGAATCACACCCTTGTGACGAACCAAGATTTGAAGTACAAGTATGACTTCTGCTTCCTGCCAAAAGAGTGAAAAAAACTGATATTTTAATTCTAGCTTCTAGATGAGGACAAAAATCTGTCTTCAGAGCTATGTGCCAACTCCCATAGCTCTTAAGTGGGATCCTCTGCACGTACTTCAGAGCAGAATGTCAGCCATACTTCTTAAATAAAGATCACAAGGGGCCAACGTAAGTAGTAGAATCGGTAATAAGGACAAGGGCAGAAAAATGCAATTGAAAAAAAAAATACTCACACATACAAGTTTTTCTCAAGTGAGATAAAGAGTTCTAAACTTCTAGGCACAAGTAAAAAGCTCATATCATTCTTTCCAGCACCTGTTGTCTTCGTGTCTGCATAGTAAAAGATTCATGCCATAAACAGCCATTCACCATTGACAAGTGAAAGGCATTTCTACGTGGGAAGAATAAGTACTAAAGGCCAGCAAACTGCCTCTTCAATTCATAGACATTTCTAAAGGTTCTGTATTCTTTCTCCTCTGCAATATGCACAAGTATTTGTTTGAAAGAAATTCAAAAGAATAAATGCAAAAGACAGAAAAGAGTGACCTCAGAGAAGTCCACGTCTTATCACACTGCACAGAGCTGTGTATCAAACATGTGTGTTCTTAAAAAAATGCAAAATGGAAAAAAAGAAAGAAAAAGGAGGGGGAGGGAAGTATTTATTTGTCTTAATCTCTTTCAGACATATTTCATGTTCTAGGAATAATTTCCCCCATCATTCCTGATTCATGCAACTGCTGTTTTATTTTATATTCACTGAAAGGCAAGGGCAAATGGACACCCGCACACTATGCAAAAGGTCTAAATGCCGAAAATGTAGAAATACATCATAGCACACATTGTTCCTAAAAATAATCGCTTCATGAAATTATGGAGGTTTTTTTCAATGTCAGTAATTTTGCCTTGGAGCTTGGCTATGAGAGTTCATGACATTCACAACAGATAGTCACTGCAAGACTGCAGGAACAGATTTCCCAGAATAAATATATGTTCATTTTAGTATATTCTCATCCATAATGAACAGACATTCCTATTACACTTGTAATGGATGCTTTCTCAGCTCTTACTGGCATGACTAATATTCTGAAGGAAAGAGACAAGCTAGTGAGTTGAACTTGTGGATACAGAAGTAGGATGGAATAGCAGTAGTGTAGTTATATAAATAGAGGAATTCTCCCCATTGTCTTCCACAAGCAGCATAAAATTTATCTAAGAAAATACTCTCCAGCAGTTAGAGTCTAATTCTGACCTCTCTTCAGTTTTGCATGGGCTCTGCGGATGGTTCTGAGTTACTAGTATTCCAGTGACTATACTAGATTCTTCAGAATCAAGTCAAAATCTTGTGATTAGGGGTGATGTAAAGAAATAGGCTAATTTTAAACTTTTTGCAATATATGATTTTTCTTCAAAAATACCATATTCCGTACATATAAATTGAGGCAGTGAGATTTTGAAGTGATGGGAGCTAGTTTAAAACACTTGAGCAGACCAAGATAGACAATTGCTTTAGTAAGATTTTGTATTGCCTTCAGTCCAATGCCTTCCCTTTTGTTTGAGTATACTCCAGTGAATGGTACTTCACTGACTGCTATAAATAACCAAAGCAGGATGTTGCAGAAATAGTGTAGATGTACGCACAAAGTAGAAGGATGGAGAGGCAGAAGACTTGTATTTATTAGCAACTCTGTTATGGTATGTGTTATGTGTTAAGCAAATCTGCCTTGGCTTTGAGGACCAAACCTTCTTTGAAAGCCAGAGTCGAGAGCAAAGCTTGGATACTCAGAACCTCTGAATATCAGATTAGTTGTTTTTGTGCCTCATTTTTCTTTCTACAAAATGGAGATAAACCCAGCTTTTGATCTGTATTTTTGTAAACACCATATAAAGTGCTGACTGTTATTTGACACGACTATTGCAGTTCATAATGCATAGACAAAATTTATATCTTGTGGCCTGTAAAAAATACTTCACACGTTATGTGTATCTGAATTTTACATGCTACTCAGCCCGCTGAACAAATGGTTTGTACTCTGTCCTTGATACTGCTTCTTCAAGCCTTTCTTGAACCATTAACATCCCACCATTTTGTTAAAATAAGACAATGCAAACATACATGAAAGCCTATAATCTGAAAAGAAACAGTATTCTTTTGGAATCTAACAACGAGATAAATATTTAAGTGCTAGTAACTATTCATTATGCTCATGACTTGCCTTTGACTCGGGTATTTTGATGCAATCACTGTGGATGCCAGGAGGAAAAACCCTTTAAGTCAAAGAGACTTGCACATGTGCTTAAATTTAAGCACAACCTGAAGTGCTTAATGCATAGGAAGGAACTAATGCCTCTGGCCCTAAACATCAAACATTTTAAGTAGATGCATTAGTGATAATAGAAGATCTGCTTCCCTGCTCTCACCACTGCTTCTAATGTACTCTAACATCTTAGGAAACAAGACCAAATGGACAAAACAGAGAGTCTACCTGTTAAGAAATGCTTCTGTTTTCCTTTTTCTCTGTTACCATTTGTAACATACAGGAGCCTCAGTAAACTCCTGTGAAAGTGCTTAACTCCCATGAAATCATAACTCTGAAAATTGGACAAAAGGACTACTAACAAATGAAATGCCGTTGGAGGCAACAGGACACGGGCAGTTTTTACTTAGCCTGATTCTACTGTTCAAGACATTTCTTGAACACACTAAGCAATATACCTACTAATTAGCCTCCATTAGCAGATAGTGAGAACCCTTAAATACTCTTCTAGTGCCTTAATTAACTAAGACGGTTTATATATTCTCCCTTTCTTTTTCTTTCTTTTAAAGAAGGACATTTATCTCTGCTTGACATACATTTCTTCAGCAAATTTCCATACCCAACAATTTGCCACACACAGGTATTAGCAGCTTGCTGTGAAATCACCGGATGGATTTCAGCTTCCCTGAAGTTGTTTTACCACTGGCAGCACTGGCTTGTTATTTTGCACTTACATGGAGTTGGCTGTAGCTTAACCACCTAAAAGGTGTTGCTTCAGACTGCCTGAAGAGCAAGGGGTGCCCATTTTGAGGTTAAAGCACATCTGAATGAGTTTTGTTTCAATGGCAGATGCTTCTGAGTAACTGGGCTGTGTAGCTTTGTGTCAGCCCAGGGTGCCAGAGGTCAAAAGCATTCCAGATGTGCAAAGCCTGGTTACACTTACCTGCTGCTACAGTAAGGGAATATACATCACTACTTTCTGTAATTATTATTGTTTTGGACTAAGTTTGCCCTGATGTAGAGAATAAATAGAAGACTACAGACATTTGAAAATGCACAGGCACAGCCATCTGAAGAGGTAAATTCCAATGTTCGTATGGATTGTGCCATATTATCAATGTATCTTTCCAAATCTTTGGGCTATAATTTTTTTTTGGTTGAAGTTTTGAAACCTTGGAGAAACTCCATGTCTCTAATAACTCCATTTATGAGTTTGGCCCTGAATCTTTTTGCTTTTTACATCAAAAGTTACTACCTCTGCTTGGTTCTGATTTTCCTGTGTTGCTACATTATCTGTTATCATTAGATGTTCTGTTATAGGAATCATCTGCTCAATTTGACTTGTATTTGGAGAGTCTTCAATTTAATTTCTCATTCTTTATGTCTGGCCCTAAGATGATCCTTCTCTCTGATTGTTTCACCAGTTGTATGTTTGATACAATTGCAGCACTAAGTTCCATCAGAATTGAGTTTTACTTAGGTAAAATACTTTCAAAATTGAATTTATGCCTTTTAGAGTTGAGTGTTGGTTTTTTTCAAACTTTGTTAGTAATTTAAGCCCTAGCAAAAAATGTAATCCTGGAAGTATATTTCATAGACAGGAAATGTGTCTGTCTCCTTCTTTATTTAGTTTTTCTCCTTTCTTTCAGCCTCATAAAAATTGCAGATCCTTTGGGATTTTCAGTCACATTTTGATTATGCCTCAGGTTAACTACTTCAGCTCATTTTTTGGTGGGCTTCAAAAGGTAGTGTTCACAAACATTGAGTTGTGAGCTCTCACCTGTCAGATGTTCAGGATGTCCAGAATGTAAAAGTATTATATTTTGACAATAAAGCACCAACAAGAATGTCACCAGATCACCAATTTAAACTGCTGCAGCTAACCTGTCTGATTTTGCCTGAAGCAAATGAGGGAGTGATGACAAGAGTTGCTCCCTGGTAAGCAGGTAGGAAGGGCAAGGAAAGGAGGTGGTGAGGCAGCATCTCAGGGTGGGGATGGGAAAAGTTAACCATGAAAGGTTACCAGGACTGGTGGGTCTGGAAGCAAGTGCCTGTCCATGGGTGCTTACAAAGTACATTTGTGGGTTTTGCCACAAGTCTCACATTTGTTCAAGGTTGCATTGCAAGTATTTAGGAGGATGGGGAAGAGACCACAAATACCTTTGACTCATACTCTGCTGCTCTACAGCCTGTAGACTCAAGTTTGGCAATAAGTGTTCCCAGGAGTATGCACTGGCTTGTGGTTTTAATGAGGCATCTAAACATCCTGGGATAAAAACATGATGGGGTGGTGTTCCCCAAATATTTTAATGTTGGAATAGATACTCCTGCTGCTGTAACTGTGCTGTGACAGCTGGAGCTCAAGGAGCAAGTGGGTACAGGCTGGAGCATGCAAAAAATTCAGACTTGTGCCCTCAGTTTTCCAGCAGATCTGCTAGAGCATCTGTGCTGCAGGCTTGCATTTCTCAAGTGTCCACATTCCTCTAAAGTGAAATGAAATATTAGGCTGCAACTGATACTTTGGAAAGCACTTTCTTCTTATATCTCCTTCTGGTGCATAGTAACGAAGAGATTAACAAAGTTTGTAAGGACATGTGCTCCTATTACTATCATGTGTAAACAATCTAAGGGCCTTTTGGAGGAGTGGTTGGGAAAAGGCTGTGAATTATGTGGTGGATTAATTCCAGGAAACTGTTGTATCCAGTCTGAGGTTATTACTAATAGCCTGCTTCATAGCTATTATTTAATTATTGTTGGTTTTTTTTCCTATACCAGAAACTTCTAATGTGGAGGATTTTGAATTAAATACATCTGAATTTGTCTGCAAAATATTTGAGTAGAATACTCTGAAAGTAGTACTTTTCAGACAAAGCCCTTTTCATAAGAAAAAAGAAGCAAAATATAGAGAGGTGAAGATGATATAGAAAGATTTCCCACCCATTTTCCCTTTTCATATCTCATCCAAAACACTGTGATAGAAACACTGTCAGAGTTTGGGAAGCAAAGGTAGGTATTCTTTTCCAGGTCGTTCTGACCCATCTCCCCTCCTTCGGCTTCTGAATTCAAAACGGTAAATACCTGCCTGAATTTTGTCCCTAAACACACCTGTGTTTCGGCCTACCCACCAAAATCAGATACATCCTTTGTCATGGGAGTATGCCTTTTAGTGCAAATCAGAAGCAAGATGGAGATAGTGCTTGTGAGAGGAAGCCAAAGGCAAAAAATATCCAGTGGGGGCTGACTGTGCCTTGCAGATGAGGCCTCAAGCATTGATGGTTTTCTAGGTATTACAGTAAATGCACCCAGCATTTGTCTCACACTCTGTTGTTAAAACCTGGTGTTTCTTTTTCAGGTGTCTTGTTTTCGCTGGTAGTCATGATGTATGTCATCTGGGTCCAGGCGATGGCTGATCTGGAAAACTACACAAACATGAAAAAAATGGATTGCCCAGACTTTGCTGTTTATGTACGCTATGGCTGGTCTTTTATGCTGGCTCCTATAGGAGTATTTTTTGCTTTATTAGCAGGA